TGGTGCTTCATGTAGTAGTATACCTTTTAACAATTGGTAACAATTTTTACCAATTGATAAGAATAAAGTATTTTTGAAATTGCAAAAGTGTTCAATTATTCAAAAATGCTACAACAAAAAGAAAATAAGTAAATATTCAATAACTTAAATCTTTTTTTTTTTTGAAACTCAAATCACTTTTCTGATTCAATTCGAAATTTTGAAGATTCACATGGTCCTAATGTGGGTATGTATGTATGTATGTATGTATGTATGTATGTGTGTATGTATGTATGTATGTATGTATGTATGTATGTATGTATGTATGTATGTATGTATGTATGTATGTATGTATGTATGTGTGTATGTATGTATGTATATATATATTTATATATTTATATATATATATATATATATATATATATATATATATATATATATATATATATATATATATATATATATATATATATATATATATATATATATATATATATATATATATATTTATATATATATATATATATATATATATATATATATATATATATATATTTATATATATATATATATATATATATATATATATATATATATATATATATATATATATATATATATATATATATATATAAACACACATAGAAACACACATATATAAATTTAATAAATTACAATAAAGTGAAGAAAATAATAAAAGACAATTTTAAATATTTATATTTATTTATTATTTTATTTATTAACTTACTTTCAATAACTTGACGAAATTTAAGAATTTGGAATGACTTTTTTTGAAGAGCACCTTGCCCTGTCCAGTTTAATTTTTTTGCTCCTTCCTTTTTTGCTGCTACTTCCTTTACCTTAAAAAAAAAATTGCTACCACTAGTAAAACAATTTAGTTTTTTTTTTTAATTAACATTAGTTATAATTTTATAAATGTTTTGCAATAGGCTACAAATTAGTAGTCAAAATACCTTATTCACAGAGGTAATTATGATCACTTTTTTCAATTTTGTTTTACTTTTGTTTAATACAGAGACAGGTGTCTGCAGACGAGACTTTTTTAACTCTTGATGTCTATTAAAATCTTGAGAGTCACTCCCATAATTTTCATCAGGTTACTTCTGTACTCTAAACACATAAGTCTAATGTTAAAATATAGTTTCTAGAAAATTTTATTGTGTATTATAAACACCTTATAGTATACATTAAAAAATGTACATGAAATACAAAATAATACCTTAAGATATCTAATTTTATTTACACTTTTGCCAATAAAAACAAAATTTACAGTCGTAACTTATAAAAAAAATAATTACATGACCGGGGCTAAAAGAAAACAAATTTAGTCTTATCATTAAGCCTAAAAAAATGTGTCATTCCTAGACAAAATATAGTTTTACAATAAAATATAATTTCAATGTATATATCTCTGATTTATATTATAAAAGAAAGATTAAATATATCCCATATCGTTTAAAATTTATATTTTTTCAAAGAATAAGATTTAACAATTGTTTTGTAAAATAAAAGAAATAAAATTTAATAAAATATTAAAATGACAAAAATAACATTTAAGACTTGGATTGAAAAAATAAGAAGATATGATTTTATATAAAAACATTTTATTGGTAGAGCATTTTTATAGTTTAACTTATTTAACTATATTTATAAAACTTTTCATTGCCAATTAAGTAAAAGCAAATAAACAGTATAAAATCAAAGTAAAAGATTAATAAATAACGCAAAATAAAAAATAAATTTTTCAAAAAGAAGATTTTCATTTAAAATGATAAAAATATATGTACAATTGTTGATTAATTATGTATTAATAATCTAAAGTAATTAATTAATTAACTATTAATTAATGATTTCTAATATAATGAAGTTTTATTAGAAAAAATTTAGTTCATTTTCAGTTAACAAAAGAAATTGCTAAAGTTTTGTTTAGAATTGGTTCAGAGAATAATTAGTTTTCGTTTCATTATTAAATATTATGTTCCACAACTTTGGTCCTCGGTTTACAATAGAGAAGTTAGTAGCGGAATAATAAGTTTTGGATTGAATGTAGTTGTATTTTGAAAATCTTGTAGGGTATATGTGATTTATTTTTTCAAAAGTTGAATAAATTAAGATTGGCAATATATTTTTATCAAGTTTGAACATGAAAATAAGAACTTGATAGAGGTTTAGTTTATATACATTTAGGATATTGAGTTCATTAAAAAGTGTTTGTGTGTGTGAAAAACGATCTACGTTTGAAATTATCCTTATAGCCTGTTTTTGTTTGCTAAGCGATTTTTTTATTTTCGTCGCGTTAGTGCTATACCAAGCAATGTTCGCATAACTTAAGTAGCAATGAATAAAAAAAAGTAAATGTTTTTTAAACAAGATCGATGTAATAACTGCTTTGCTTTGTACATTATACCTAAATTTTTTGATATTTTATCTTCATCTACACCTATGTGTTTCCTCCAGGTTACATTTTCGTCTAGAAACACGCCTAAAAAATTTATTGATTGCTCTTTCTGTATTAATTGATTTTCAATAAAAAGGTCTGGGAGTTCTAAGGGAATATCTGATTTTTTTATGTAGGCGATATACTCTGAATAATATACAGCAATGTGACGTTTATAAGGAAAGTATGTTTAAACCACTTACCTTATAAATTGCAACTCCTTTTTAGTGCCATGAGCCTTTTTAGTTATGTAGTCATAAGTAGCAAAACTTTTCAACCCATTATTTGTCAAAAAAAAATGTCAATTTTTCATTTTGCTTACTGCCAGAGGAAAACTTATAGTTGTTTAATTAGCAGAAATATGTATATTAATTAAATTTTGTTAAAATAACGTTGAGAAATCCAGGCAAAAAGTAAGTAAAAAAATAAAATTTTAGCAGTATGTTTTTGCTATTGTAATAGATATAAATATATTGGTTTTACTATATTAATTTTTTTCTTTTAGAATTACTGCTTTTTTTTCCTAAATAAAAATAATAATTTACTTTAACATAATTTCGTCTTAATTTTTTTTTTTTTTACTACTACATTGGAAATCTCAATGTTTTAAGCTTGTTTTTACTCTACTTAGTTAGTTTAATGTAATGTTTACTTAGCAAAGTAAAAAAAAGTTTGCTGTTTATCTTTTAAGCTTCTAAATATCAATTATCAAGATGCAGTTGATCGTTTTGTAAATTAATAATTTAATAAATTTCTCATACTAGCTATTATAGTATAGTTTACATCCAAGATATTGCCACGTGGCGATATTTTGGATATAAACTATGTATAAGATAATATAAACTAAATCTAGTCGACCTTTTATTAATACTATGTTTAAATTTGACGCAAAATGATATTAAATATAAGTTTTTACCGGTTTTAATTGCAATAAACAAATTGTAAGTTATTTTCATGAAGAAAGCAACTAAATAAATAATTATAAAAAAAACTGTTTAGGATAGATACTGTGTAATACAAAACCGAATTGTACAATGTATCGAATAATGCCATTTATCAAACTATTGCTATATTTTTGCATTACTAGTAAATTGTTCTTCAAAATGCAAGAATTATTTTATTACTTTTACGCAAATTAATAAAATGAGAGTTTAGTATCAGTTTCCATATTATGATTTTAAATATACTTTAAAATATGTTTATTTTCATCAAAAGATTTAAGAATATCATGAACAAGATAAACAATTGCTTGATCAGTTGAGTGACTTTTTATACATAATATGATTTAATATTTTTGAGAAGCATTGTTGTATTAAGATAGGTCTATAATTTGCGGTACTTGTTGCTCTACAGATTTTAAAACAAGTAAAGTCGGTGAATTTTGAAGTAAGACCTTTGCATAAAAATTGTTTGATTATTTAAACAATTTTTGTTTAAATATTAAACTCATCAAAAATTGTAAAATTTATATGCAAATATGAAAATGAATTATAAATCTGCACCGCACTGTGTTTAAAATATCATATCAAGTTAAAGACCAATATTTAACACACGACTCTACATTATGTATATACGTATGAAAAATTTTTCCTAATCTTTTTGTTTTCAACAGCTTGGAAACTTCACACCTTAATCCTGTTAGTGAAAGTTATAAATATACCTAAATATGTTCAAATAAATTTGGCAAGATATGTAAGTTAATTCTTTCGTTCAAAAAATAGACCTATTTAGACGAGCTTATGTTTTACTTATTTATTTATTTTTTCCACTTTTTGTTAAAAAACACGATACATCAGAGAATGGGTTTGTTTGGCTGTTTGTAATAACAAAAGCAATCTAACAAACAAGACCATAATGCCCATGCGTAAAAGACGAGTTACTTTAGAGTAGTTTAAAAGTCCATATCTCCACAATTTAGAGGTCTCACTAAGCGCTGTAAACTCCCTCAGTTTTTTCTGTGACAAAGTCTTAGTCAAAAATGTTTTAAATCCATGTTAAAGTACAAATCAACCAGTTCCAATAAGCCTATACTATTCTTTTAGTAATTTAAGATGATCCTATTCTTTTCAATAATAATCTATTTATTTATTGAAAACAAACTGAAAAATCAGTATAGTACGCTTTACACACTCGTAATACTTTCTACAAAAAATCTGAACATCTGAACATTTTTTTAAAAAATTTGAATTGCAAGGAAATGAAAATTTAATAGTGGCAGAAATAATACTAGAAAATAAACAAGTCATTGTTTTACAACAAAGGTTCCAAGAAAACTTTAAATTAGTACATTTTTTGTGTAAGTGATAGCAGTTAAGTGATGCAATGGCATTCCCAACCCACTCAAAAACCCATACCACATATCGTAATCATTGTATTTATAAAAGTAGTTTTTATAGTTTTCTATAAATGTAAGTAGTATTTCTTGTCATCAATTGAGTTAGAATAGCTTTTTTGAAATTTAACTTAATTTTTTTTTTGTGTGTGTGTGTTATCAATAAAGACCACTATTTTAAAATTATTTAAAATATTTTTCAAGATAAAACAATTTTCTACTTGTTTTTAGCTATCGCAAATGTATTTAATCAAGATATGACTTTTAATGATTCTTTTAAATTGGTTATTCAATCAGTGAAATATAATGATGAAAACAACATATTATTAAACGCCATACTTGAAGAAGGTATGCATGGATTGCATAAACTCAGTAATAACATTCCATCTCAAATAATTAAAAAATTAGAGTTTCTTATAACTAAGCATGGTATGAGAAAGTACAAACAAGAATCAAACAGCCAGAATATTAATTTTAGTAATTTTATTAGCAATCAACTTCGAGAATTGAATGTGCCAAACAATCTTCACAATCGTATTCAAGAGCAAATTACTGAGAGCTTATTAAACATTATTAAAAGCTATGAATTTAATATTACAAATCAAAATAAAAAGGATATGTTAAATAATTCACTTAACTTGATTCATTTAGATGATGTTAAAAACATTAAATCGTTTTTAGAAAAACTGTGGAAACCTATCCAAATCAATGAAGAACTTAAATTATCTTTATTACATGAAATGACATTGTCTTGTTTAAAAGTTTTAAAAAACTTTGAAGAAAATATTCCAAATGAAGTGCTTGAAAAGTTAAAAAACCTAATGCTTCCAGTTCAAAATCATTTGGAAAAAGAATATGGAATAAATTCTGACGAAAATAAAATTAGTATCAAACAACGGCAAGAAAATTATTCAAACGAAGTTATAAACAAATTAAAAAAACAGAAAGAAAAATTATTGTTAATGCCGGAATGTTTCGAAAAGTCTGTTTTGAACTTAATTTATTTAATTCGTTTGGAAACTTTACCTGACAACAATATTACCCATTTATTAAAGAAAGAAGAAGAACCAATAAATTTTGACATTCACATATGCTCTTTGAATGAGAAATGTGCCCTAGAGGGACTCGATAACAAAACTAAAGAATGCTTAAAAAAAGCTGAAAACCAAATTAAATTGGATCAATTTAGTTTCGCACTACAAATTCTTGAATCATTGTTTAAACAAATTCAACCTCTAGACATTAGAGAAATAAAACTATTATTAGAAAAAGCTAAAGAAACTTATAAGTTGATTGAAAATCAGGAAATAGTACTTTTATTAGGAATGACTGGATCTGGTAAAACAGCCACTATTCATTTTTTATCTGGTTCTAAAATGTTTAAACAAAAAGTATGTATTGAACCTGGAAACTATCTTTTTCAAGTTACAGCAGCAGAACCATTTCCGGATGCTTTATCCAAATTTATTATTAGTTATCGCGCTGAATCAGAAACTAGATACATAAATCCAATTCAAATCAACTTGAAAGATTTCGGCCACTTTTCGGATAAATTTATAACATTATGCGATTCACCCGGTTTTGGTGATACTGCTGGTCCTGAAGTTGATATAGCCAATAGTGTTAGCATTGTTGAAGCAATCATATGCTGCAAAAGCGTTCGACCAGTCATTTTATTGAATTATGAAAACCAAGGTGGTCGAGGTGAAGGCATTCGCGAGATGACACGAATGATTCAAGATATGGTAAAAAATATTGAAGATTATTTGTCTTCATTTTCTTATTTGTTTACTAAGTATTCGGAAAATAACGTTCATACAAGTCTACTCAACATATACAAAAGCATTGAAAAAGGGTCTGAGTCTAACGATAAAACATTTAAAACTATTCTAGAAGATATGTTAAAAAAAACTAAAAACAATAGTGAATCTTTAGATCTTATTAATGATAATCCGTTAGATGTCATAAATAGGATTATAAAAACACCTTGCATTAAAGATCCTAAGCGAGTGTTTAGGTACACAATAGCCGAACGATCAAAAAGTGCGCTGTTCATGCAAGCCGAATACAATAAGTCTGCAATAATATGTGCTGCAAAGACTTATAACTATAAACTGATAAAGTATAAAATAGTTGAACTCATATTTTTGTGTGATACTTTAAGATTAAATGAAGTTAAACAGACTTTGAAGGAATCCATTGATCATGTAAATAATCATATTTATAAATGTTACGAAGATACTAAAGAAAGATTTAACAGATGTTTAGACAATCAGAGCAAACTTTTGAGTGATGAGCTAGAATACTATGTTTCTCAAATTGAGAAATTGGAAGATCTTCATATTTTTAAAGACGTTGAGCCGTTGGTAAAAGTAAGTAAATTAAGCGAGGCGTTGCTTCAAAATTTATGTTCAAGATGCGCACAAGAAGCAGAAAATTTTACATCTTTAAACATATTTAATGATGAGTACTCAAAAATATCTTTAAATAACTTGAAATTGCTTTGTGAAAAATGTGACAACAAAGGATATATTAACGCTTGTCAATTTGTAATTAAACAGGTAGGTATTTAATGATATTTTTTTTCATAAAATCATAGTTTTCTTTGTTTTTTTATTTGACAAAAAGTTTTTGTAACGTTTTGAAGCATTCCGCTAACTTATAAATGTTATTTATTTTGCTTGTAAGCAAGAGTTGAGCTTAATTATTAAATTGCGAAGGAATTTTTTTCAAGCATATATTTTGTTATAAATGTACCTTTTACTTAAAATAAGATACTAAATAGTGCAATTTTTTTTTTCAAAAAGTATTTTAAATTTCTTTGGAAAGTTTTTATAAACATAGTTAAATTGATGTTTAAGACTCCACTGGCACTTTTTTTGTAATGTTAAATACCACTGAGTATAAAGAACATTTTTCAAAAAATATAAATAAGAAAAACGTTTTTATTTTTATATAAAATTTTAAAATATTCATTAAAGCTGTTTTCACAGAATAATTAAAACATTTAGCAATAGCCAGCTAATTTTTACATTTACTTTGAAAAGATTTAAAAAGTTTGCAATAAAAAATATGCCTTAAATCAGTTTTGGATGTTCTTTATACATTTACTAGTACAGAGAAGATCAACAACTTTACTTAAAGAGCGTTCACTAAATATGGCATTCTAATTGTTGAGCTATATTAATAATTTACATATTAAAAGATATCGATTAACAACATTTTAATAACTCAATATTGTATTTGTAATAAAACATTGTAATATTGCTTCTCTGTATGAATTTTTCTGTTACACTTGTACTTTCTGAATTCATCTGCTTACAAAATAAAGTAATTATAGAAAGTCTAATATTAATGACTTCAAGATCAGAGGGTTAAAACCTGAGGTTACTGAGATAAAGAAGTTTGAAAGATTTTTTTAAATGTAAAGATTCCACTGACATATGACTTTCTTTAGAATATTCTACCCTCCACCAATACCAAGAAGTTCCACAGAGTAAGCGATGTTTAGTTTTTTGAATGAATACACCACTTACTAGCAAAGATAGGTTAAATTAATAGACAATAATACACTCAAAAACGTTTCAATAACTCTTAAATTAATACATTTTGACAACGTAAAATTTATCTATGTAAAATCACTTGCTTGTATCGCCAGCAGATGTATTTTGTATTTCTAATCTTCCCATATGATCTCCTTCTTTATATCGTTTTCGAATTGAAAAATTTGAACATGTATAATTTATCTAAAAAATATCCTACATTTATACTTAATAGATTTCAACAACCTATTTTATCTCCTTTATTATATCTGACGCCGCACAGTTTGATAGTAATTTATCTTTATGTTCATGATGCACATTTGATCATAATTTATGATCATAAATGATCTTAATTTATCTTAATTTATATTTATATTATGATCATAATGTATCATAATATATTCGCGCAGTTTGATCATAATTTATTTTTGTGTTCATGATGGTTTTACCTTATACAGATGATCGGTTTCTATACCATTTAACAAACAGAGCGTTTCCACCTGACTGACAGCATTATAAGTTATTTTTTTAATTAAACTCAGAAATTTGTTTGCAACTATTTCTTCTCTATATAATACATAAAACAGTAGCATTTATGTTTGAGCTTTATTTTAACTATTTTACCTGCTGACAATCATTTAGGAAATCCTTATTGATCGCTCAAGAATTTGCTTCAATTGTCTCGACATCTGCAAAACGGTTTGTTTTTTTGCATGTTCATAATATCTCTCAATATTAGTATTTATATAATCGATGGATTCCTTTATTATCTGTTCAATATCATTAAATCTTTAACAACCACACAAAAATATAAGCTCAACTGTTTTATACCAAGAATTATTTTTTTTGTTTAAAGTATGAGTTTATCTCGCAATTTCCACAAGGTTTAAATTGAGAACTTTTGTTTAAACTGAACCTATGGTGAAACAAGTTGTTGATCAGCTAAATTATTGAAGTATTCTATCAAAGAGAGACATTTTTTTTATTAACACAACAAAAATAAGTTCATCACTTATTTTGTAAATAAAGCTTTTTTCTAAGCTTGTTCTCAAACATTACGATTATTATTATTTATTCATAGTATTTTCTACATTTTGTTGTTATAATTTTATAATTTATTATTATTATTAAAAAAATGTTATAATTTTATAAATTATTACTCTTATAACTTTTGAGTTTAAACAAATTACCAGTCAATTAAAATAGTTAATCAAGACAAGTTGTCTAAAATTTTATGCTTTTTTTTGCAATTAGCCTCTTATTTTAAATAGTTTTAGTTTTAGGCAGAAACCATGTAATTTGAACAAAAAAGTAATATTTTAGGAGAAAAAAAATGTTTTGTTTTGAATATTGACGGCAATTATTGGTCGATATTGTGTTTATAAACAAAAAAAACGTTTTGTTTTCTTAAATAATTGCCACTAAACTTTCTAATAATGTCAAATAATGCTCTGCATACATTTACTTGTTCTCTAGAATTGTTTGAGCTGACTAAGTTTCAACTGCTTTAGGAATACTGCAATAGATAAAAGAACTATGAAAGTAAATAAATTTTAAGTAAATAAGGTTCCGTAATAAGTTTTTACTCTATATAATAATTCCGTAATAAGGTTTTACTCTATATAGCTTCTAAATACTTTTTAGTTTTAATTGTCAATAAATTTTAAAAAAATATGTTGAAAACACAAGAGCAATATACAAAAAAGTATTATCTGAATTCCACATATTGATTGTCTCATTAGGAGAAAAGATAATTTTGAAGAACTTAGATTTTACAACTTTTTGTGAAAGTCTTTTAATAACTCAATAATTGAATTTTTAAAATTCTTTATTATGTTATTAAAATAAGATCCTTCATAATTTTGTTTGATTAAAAAAGTTTAGAGTTGTCAACAAACAATATAGCATTTATATTTTGGGATACCAAATGTAACCTTTTTTTTAATTAAACTACAGTAGCCATATGGTTTACATTTAGGGAAATTCACGAGCTATTAAGTACATGCCTGTTTCGTTTGCTTTATATAGTATGTATTCCTTTTCTTGACAGGTATTATTTAATACTGCTTAGAAGTTTAATTTTTTTTCAAAAAAAAAACAATTGTAAAAAGATTAATGAAAATTCTATATGTATAGAAACGATCCACTTAATAGCCATTGTCTGAGAAATATAGGCAAAAAAAGCAAATTCTGGAAGTGATGTCTTCAAAGTGTCCTCATTTTCAGATATTTATAAAAACCAATTAAAGTAGACCACTCGCATTTTTTATCTTATTCGTTTTGGAAATATTTGGTCCCAAATTTTGGCTCATTTTATGAAAATATGTGCGCAAGAAGTGCAATTGCTATTTTTTGGGGGAATTTTAGAAACATGAATATGACAGGCACATTTCTTTTTAATTTTTCTGCTAATCTGGGTAAATTTCTACAGTAAAAGTAAAAATTCAACATGGTTGAATTTTTAGTCATCTAGAAATCATGGTCCAAAACTAATAAAAGTTAAAATTTTACCCTAACTTAGAGCTTTAATATCTCCTATGGCCATTACTTGCACGTAGTTTTCTTAAGTGCTTTTGAAAGACACTAAGACATAAATTAATTATATCAAAACAAAATTTATGTGCGTGCAAGGAACTGGAAAGAAGTTACCTGCCAAAAATCACTTTGTGCGTTCAACGCGCCTTGATAAATTACCCATAACAACCGTGGCCTTATGTCTGCCATAAACAGTATAAGTTATTTAATTTCCTTAAACATGCATCTCCCTTCATATGAAAAAAAATCCATGTGCTCGGATGATTAAAAGCCTACAGAGTTCCTAGATTTTGCCTTATTTCGCCAAATTTTTATCAAAAACGACCCTAGCAACGGTATAGATATGAAGCATAGCAACAGCTACTTTACAGATTTAATAATTAGTCATATAATTGAAAATTTTGATATAATACATTTTTATAACGGAACAGTAAAAGAACACTTGACAAAAATTACATTGAAAGCATTTTTAATGTAACAAAGTACTTAACAAAAGGTTGAAGTGATGCAATGACAACAGACTTGTTAAATTTTAATTTGCACTCCGTAATGTTTCTTCCTACGTAATGTAGCAAAAACTTCTAAATGTCACGATTGATTTCTTATTATGTCAAATTTAAATTCGAGTTTTTTATTTAAAATACTCATTTTTTAAATATCTTGTTGTATGATGTATGGTATTCGTTTCGAAATAATATTCGGCAGCTTAATTGTACATTGAAACTTTATTATCACTGCTCACTGAAAAATAATGCTTTGCTAAATGAACCATTTTGATATAATACATTTTTATAACGGAATTGTACATGAGCATTTGATAAAAACTAGTTTTTTACATTTGTCTATGAAAAAAAGATCCATTAAAGTTTAAGATCAACGTTTTTTCCTTTCAGAGTTGATGTAAAATACAGCTTTCTAAGAATTATAAACAAACAAAAAATTTCAAAAAGTTAATTAATGGCATATCTGAATTTCCACGTTGTCAATATTGTTTTTTGAGAGAATAATCTCCTCTCTGATTAGTTGGTGTTAGTGCATCAATCCTCCAACAACATCGAAAGATGAATATTAAAGAATATTTTCTTTATTTAGCCACTTAAAGCAGTTTCCAGGTGCAGCAGAGTATACTGCTGCACCTGGAAAACAAAAAACATATATTTCATCATCATTGACCTACTGTAAACACAAAGTAACGTCTATTCATCGCTGCTTCCTAAATTTTCCTTGATATTAATTATTATGGTTAATAAACCAATAATTTTGTATTTCAATTCAACAAATCTCAGAACACAAAAATTTATAAAGATGGAGTTTGTTGAGTTGTTACATACTCACTTGGTTTTAACATTGTCCTCAGCTGCTTTTGAACCTGATCTGGAGTCATTTTCTTCCCACGTTCTTCTCCAGCTATAAAAATCTGCATTAGCAATGTATTTTGTTTTGAAGAACATCCAAGTACTTTTTTTTTTGGTAATGGCAATACAGTGATATTTGTGAAGTTTTCCACCATTAGGTTAATGATAGAATGGGATAATAACAGGTATTCAGAAAAGTTAAGGCTCGAAATAATGTTCATTTTGTTGACATTGGAACGTCTTGCCCTGTCTACCATAGATTTTGACACAGATCGAGAAGAGTGGATTTCTGAAAGCATGTGTTCTGCTATTAAGTTAGTATCATAAAATTATTCAGCTCAACCATTTTATGTACAAAACTTTGAAGCGTTAACACCTCTATCAACACGTTTTTTTTTGCAAACTGATGGTACAGTATAATCTTTGCAATTTGAACT